AAAGCGGGGACGGGGGTCCCGGCTCCCCGCGGGGTTAGGCGGGACGAGGGACCGGGGGGGGTAGGCAACGTAAGAAGAGAGACAGTTTGGAGACGAACAGACGGAGCTCTGGCAAGCGCCGAGGCTGTGAGGGCCGCTCCTGTGGGAGCAGACAGCTGCTTGGTTTGTGCTAATAACATTACCTCGGCCTTCAATTTTAGTCACGACAAGGCGAAAGCTGGAAATGAAGATAGGCGGCTCTTCCTGGAGTTTTTGTGGAGAGGTGGGCTGGGGGTGCTGATGACTCTGAAGAGTGACACATCGATTAGAGGGAACTGAACAGATTGGAGTGCCTTAAGATTAAAATCCTCAAAAAGATTTCAGGAGAAGATGAGCCATGGGCTAAACAGGGAATTATTGTAAGAATTAATAAGGAATTACTTTGCTAACGAAGGTGGAAAAAAAACCAGAAGTGGAGCTCTGTTGTAATGGCTGGAGGAGGGTTTGGGGGTGCGAGTGGTTTCGTGGGAAATGTTGGGACACTCGGGGTCAGTTTCTGTGGGCAGTAATTCTGGGCGGTGCTTTCCTGTTCTGGTCCCAGAGTTAGGCGGGTGAGTTCTCAAGGGATAGTTTTCAGGATTTCTTTGTGCTCAAGAGTGATGCATTGAAGCACTAGTTTCCTAAGAGTTCATCCCAAAGTATTTTGCATTGTATATTACTTTTTTCCCCTATTAAAAAAAAAAGGATAAGGTTCTTGCTTGCCTCTTAAAATACTTACTAAGATACAGAGACGCTATTCTTTGTGAAATGCTAAATATGATGTTGAAGTTTATGTAAGTAGAGTAAGATAAATACTGCCTTGTCTTTTGTTTGATTTTTTTGTTGTTGTGGCTTTTTTTTTTTAAAAGTTTGACGTATATTGTCATCTTTAACAAATAAGAGACACAACTGACTTTATGGATTCTCTGAATTACTTCAGCTTCCACCCCCCCCAATTTGAAAGGGAAACAATTGTTTCCTTAACCTGAATTCAAACTTCATTCTCATTTATGCAGTGGGACTTCTCCCTTGGAGCTTCTGTGCCGAGAATCCGATGTTGGGCTCGGCTACCTGGCTGAATACAGCAGATCAGCCCATGAAAACTTCTATTCCTAGCCAAAGGAAGGAGTCCAGCAAAAGGCAGCACCTACTCTTTCAGGCCTGGAAGCAAGAAAGGGGGCAAGAGTTGGAGAGTGTGGAATCTGAGAAGACAACTGAAAGGTAAATGGGGGTGGGAGAGGAATAGTATACTGTAGGAGAGTCAGCATGAAGGTGCCAAGTACCTTGTGATAGTATCTGGCTCTCTGCTTTGGAAGTTCAATTACAAATCGCTGCTTTCCATCTGAGGTTGTTTTCAGTTCACTTTGGGTTTATCAGAGTAATTCTTGGACTTACCAGAAAGACTGGGGGAGTGGCTTTATCAATGCAAACTTTGCCCAGATCTTTAGGTGTAACAAGCTTAGTTTAAATGTCTTCAGGATTAAATACTAACACCTTAAATTTGGCACCATATTTTGCAAGCAACGTGTCTTTCACATTCTTCCAGTAACACCTTTTGCTGAGGAGAAAAGAAGTGGTGTGTTTAGTAGTTGGGCTGTCTGGAGGACCAGTGTTTTCATAACTAGGTAGACAAAGCTGTTGATAAGGGCACTGGGGTACAGTTCCTGAAGGATGGATTGGTATATGACATGCTGGTCAGCCAGCAGCAGCAGAATTGTTAAGCCACTGTAGAGTCAGTAATCTCCCACTCGGAAGATTATAATTCAGTTCTCATGAGTGTGTCAGCTAAGTTCTTAGGTATTATTGAAGTGGCGTCCAGTAAAGGAGAAAACCCACTACTTCTAATTGATACAAGTTTTGGTCAGATTGATTTCAGTCCTCTTGCTTAGAATCTAAAAATTCTCTGAAATATTTTCTGTTTTAAAAAAAAAGTAGTAATGCAAACTCCACCGACTTTTTCCCCTGTTTTTACAGGTGACATTTAAGTTGAAGATGGGTGGTGGAGAAAGATTCAACATTCCAGTTCCCCAATCTAGAAATATCACCAAGAACCATCAACAACTTAAAAACAGGCAGAAGAATAAAGACCAGAATTCGCAGATGAAGACCTATATGAAGAAAGAAAGAGGACATGGATGCAACTCATCATCTGGTGCATGGCAGGCCATGCAAAAAGGGGGAAAGAACAACGTTCATTTCCCCAATAATCAAAATTGGAGTCCTACTTTATCAAATCGCAACCTGTTTTTCACACCTCAAACCAATCAGAACTATGCTGGAGCAAAATTTAGTGAGCCACCCTCACCAAGTGTTCTTCCTAAGCCACCAAGCCACTGGGTACCTGTTTCTTTTAAACCTTCTGATAAAGAAATAATGACATTTCAGCTTAAAACATTACTTAAAGTCCAGGCTTGAGATGTAACTTTTCATATTTTTAAAGTTATTTAAATTTACAGGGTTTCAAATTTGAGAATTGTTATTCCTAACTCCAGATGCACAGATATACAGAACTAGATGTTCTTGCTGCATGTAGTTAGTCACTTGGAAGAGAAGGGGGTGGAAGCTTACATTCCCCTAATGTTTTACCTCAAAAGTTGTGTGCTGTGTTCACTTCACTGTGAAATAGGTATTTTTCTCTATAATCTAATCAAATCCTGAACAGTCACCATTTATTGTATTTATTGTAAGTGTAAATGGGACTGTCTCCCAAAATTGGAATTGTGACTACTTTTTGGTATGGTATTAGAAAACCAGCTTTTACCTAACTTAATGCAGCATTAACTGGAAAAAAAATGCACTGAAAGCTTTAGTCAGGTACTTTGCTGCTTTTCAAACTTGCGTAAAATTTGCTAGTTAAGTAAAAACTCCGCAGAGCAGATTTGCTGAGCAGAGGAGGCCTCCACCTTGGCACTAGGTAAAACACAGATTGTTCTCGTTTATACCAGTGAGCTTTATTTGGCATGCTTGAATTGGTGGACAAGCATGTCAAGCCTGTGACTGAAACTCGGATCTAGGAAACATTGGTGTGTGTTCCTGAAAGGATGGACGAACACATCAGGCAAATCTAATTGTCTCTCTCCAGCTCTAGCAATACTTCATTGGAATCTCCACAAGTCAGACTGTGCCAACTGGTGACACTGCATTGCCAGATGACTGCCAAAAAATGCTAAAAAATCATTCATGTTCCGATTGCACTGCTGAGTTCTAAAATAATTTTTGTATCGGTTTTTAAAATTGTGAGAAAGATGGAGTAGTTACTTAGACTGGTCTTAAATCTGTTGCCCTGTAATAATTGTTTTAAGTTACAGTAGCGTGTGGCAGGTATTAAAATGTTTTCATAGGGAAGACAGAGCCATGTAAATAAATGTAAAACTTTGTAGCATATGTAAATTTACGCTGGGCTTTCCTGCACAGAAGTATTTTTAGTACAAAACTGCTGAATGTAAGATGACCATGTTGAGTACATGGCCTGATTTTAAAAAAGATATTTTGTTTAAAAAAAAAAAAAAGGACATTTGTGGCTATGCCCTTGCACTTAACATACAGTGAATATGCACGTTTTACTTGGTTGTGAGCTCATTTTTAAAGTAAATTCAGTGCAAAAGAGGCTTATTTAGAATTTTTTAATAAAATAAAAAAAACCCAAAAAAAAAGCTGCTCAAGTTTAAGATACTCAAGTTCTGAATGTATAGGAGAGGTGTGTATTAAATGATGAAAAAACAGTAAGGTTCAAAATCCAATGGGATGTTTCACAAGCAATGCGAATGGCTGAGATTGGGTGCTTGATGAAATTGAAGTATAACTGTTTCTAAAATGCATCAATGCTACAATGTTATTTTCTCCCAATGTTTGCTAAAATGTGTCATCGTCAGAATGGGAGAGGGGCAGTTGCCAGCATGCAGCTTTCAGTGCTGTCACAATTCAGTTGATCCTGTAATAGAAGCAACTGAACTGTGGTAACAGAATCCAAGGTTATTTAAAAATACAGCAATTACTAAAAAAGTGCTTTAACTTGAAAGGGAGTTTTGCAGATTGTGAAATGTTCTTTGAGGTGTCTTTCTGTACATTCAAAATGCATTGGCAGCTGGTTGAATGTTTACAAATCTATTGCTCCAAATAAGATGGAATTGGCGGTCTTTAAACTTGTCTTTGTGACCTGGATCTTCACCAGTGAATGAGCTTGTATCCCAGTTACAATTGTGTAGACTCGACTTCAAATTGTCAGTTACTAATGGCATACGTACAAATTGGAAACAAAAAAAATTTAAATAAACTAAACTTTTCACCCCCTACAAGGATCTATTTATTTTAAGATGGTAATGGAAAAGTGGGCTTACATCATTTTGGCAGCTCAAGGAGCTCTGACACTGATTAATGTATTTGAATGCCCCCTTTCGTATCCTTAACTGGCAGGAACCTCTTTACAATTATCTTTATCTGGTAAGACTCGGCAACCTGAGAACCCCAGGCTCGAGTTCTGTGTGTCTCTTCGGGCCGAGTGTCAGAACAAGCTGGAAATCCCTTCGCAACGAAGGAGGTTTTTTCAGCTACAGCCCTCATTCATGCCTCGCCAGTGATTTGTGAACACAGGGCTTGAAAATTAACAGTCACGTTACTCACAAAAGCAAAACAAAGCCTGCTACAGGGCTGTCAGGCTCTGCCCAGGAAAGCTAGACTAAGCGAGACAAGCTAGTCTGAGTAGATGCAGCTTAAGCTTAGCCCAGTACAGTTGTGATCGCGCTCTCTGCTACCTCTGAGGATGGGTCGCTGGCTGAGTGCTCTGGGCTAGAGGGAGCTTCCTCGGGTAAGGCAGTGCTTGGTGGTCGATCTCCAACAGACTACGGCTGTATTAATTAAGTCAGAAGGTGCTCTCAAGTTATAGTCAAAACTTGTACATTTTATTCCCAATTCACAGGGTTATTTGCACAGATGGAACACAAAACTCAAGAAGAAAGGATGTGTATGAATAAAACATTAGCATCTTTTGATCAAACACACTACAGGGTACATAGTCTTCCCTTCCTATAATAGTCTCATCAGTAAGAGCATCTTTAGACAAATATTATAGCAATGGACTACAGACTTTTTAAGCAAGTTACAAGATAAATGGAGAAAACCAGCAATTATTAATGGGTGATTATGTCCTAAAAATGTGTAAATTTATCCCTTTGTACTTCAAAATGTTAATCTGCAACATCCCTGCCAAAAAATCAAGTAGCAGTGCTGCGATGTATATCAATCCAATTGCCCTTCTCTGAACATATTTCAAGCTGTTACCCCAGACTAAACAAGTAAGAAAAAAAAAAAGCTCCTTCCAAGAAGAGAGCTCAAAATAACATTTAAATTGAAAATTTCCACTTTGAATAAAGCCATTATACTGTACATTTAAACATCTTTAAAAGACATAGAAAGGATAACATTTAGCTTTCAGAGACCAGTCTATTATAGTCCCTAATTTAAACACCCAGCTACTTAACCACTAAATTTAAGATTTTTAATTATCGGTTGGGTGCATGGACTTTTGGTGAAAAAGAAGTTCCAATAGAGCCTTCTATTACTGCTGAGATAAATCAATACGCTGCAGATATTTTGGAGCACAGCCATTACTTTCAGCAGAATTTTTACATACTACTTCAATTCTACAAATTTTGCAGGAATGACAAAATCTAGTTTACCACAGAAAAACATAATTCCCACCATTCTTGAGACTCCAAAAGAAAGATGCCTATACATGATCTTTTGTAGCCTGCGTATGTTCTTGCATTCCAGCTGTGCATAACCTGCAGGTAGCTTGCACAAGACAGGCTACTGCTTTTTTTAGAGCAGGACTAGGACACCTGCATCAAGGAAGGGAGATGTTATCTAGATGGGCTGTGGCTTGACTTGCATGAATGCGTAAACATTCCCTGCCCTTTTGGCCACATCCTGCTAACTCGTCCCCAACTGAAAGGCCCACAGAACAGCTTCTTCACAATTTTTCCATGGGAGCAAGAACTAGGACAACATCTTTATTCATGCACTCTTGAAACATCGTGGGTTTGTGTTCGGCTTTTCTGGCTTGTTCATATACACAAGTCAAGTCAAAGTTTAGTCCTACCTCTGGGAGAGAAAGAAAGAACCATCAGAACTGTCAGATACTACATTATACTTGCAATGAACTGGATTTTCAAAACAAAAAAAAAAATTAAACTCTGCTATACATAAATGTTGAGGCACACAATATAAGGACATGCTGACAAAATAGTTAAAGTATAGTTACTGTTACTCTCAAAGTAAGTCTCAAAGTAGAACCTCAGCCTGGACACAAAGATGTTCTCCTCCCTCCTCCCCACCCGTCCAGCTGTAATTCTGGCTGGACTAACGTGAACATGAATTACAGAATCCCTTGCAGGGATTGCAGGGATTGACAAAAACACAACCACACTTTCCCACGACACAGTCAGGTGGACCGCTTTTAAGCAGGATTTTAGTCTTGAAGACTATATTCATTTAAGAAAGCTGAAAAAGGGTGGAGTTCTCTGCTGTTATAAGCCATTTTTATGGACAGCTACAAGATAATCACAGCTCAACTTATGAAGTGTAAGAGTGGGTTTATCAAAGCAATTAAGTGCTTTTCAGAGTTGTTTTCATTCAGTGGCATAAGAAGAACCAGTTGTAAATACCACAAGTGCCAGGAGGCAGCCAAATTTTAAACGTCATCAGCAAAGTTTTACCACCTTCTAGAAAACCACTGCTGGCGCAATTTTTGATATGGCAAATACAAATTGATAAGGTGGATCCTAGAAATTTGGTTCTATAGGAATCTTCAATTGCTGATTTTAAGTAGTTCATAACCTGGCTAATAAGATCTGAATTATAACCATAGGGAAGTCCATCCAGCAATAATGAAAGTTAATGGAAAAGAAATTTCAATATATTAGACTAAAACATATGCTTATCACTCTTATTTTGTCTAGTACCCCTTTAAAAATGCGAAATGATATTTATTCAGACATTAGATGATAAATTCCTGACTTTACTGAAATACCATAGTAAGGATTTTACTCCATAAGGGATGCATAGCTCTAGTCCTAACCATGCTCTGGAGTCAAATTCTAAAGCTACAATAATTCCAGTGGATCAGTATTTCCTTCATTTTTTTATTACAGCATGTTTGCTAAATTTACAGCAAGCAGAAAATAAGCTGGGTCTTTAGTTATTTTGATCAAAACATTGATGTTTTAAAGGTAGTACACAATATTTGTTAAAAAGAACATATAAAAATACCTTTTTAGAAGCCTCTATAAGAAAGGAAATACAAAGTTTAATCCCACAACCTTCCTCTGCTAGAGCTGCACGCTACTGCTACAGTTTTAAATAGACTTTTTGCTGTTTTTAAACTATACATCCAGGAAAGTCTACAAAATTAAAGGAACGTGCATATAAATGATTGCATAGCAGAACATGAACATTAACTGCAAACAGTAAAGAAAAAGTTAGAAATACTATCAAATGTACAAAGATTCTAGAACCAACCCCCTAAGCACGTTCCACTGCCAATATTTAAAAGCCATCTGCATTTCTTCAAAGGCCCTGCTGAAAACACTAAAACCCAAACCTAAAACATTTCTCCAAAAAGGAACTTCTTGAAATCAATGTCTTTATATGCTACTACATAAGACAGCAAGGAACACTAAGTGTTTGACGCTGGCTTTTGAAGGTAAATAGAAAAAAACAATGCCAAAAGCCATTTTCATAACAAAGTTATCTTGCCTTCTAGAGAAATACTGGTAAGATTACACACTGGTTTTGTTATTTTTCACATTCAATTTA